GGGCGCCACGTCGAAACGGCTGCTTTGAAATTTCTCGGGTTTGTGCGAAACCCGCCACCCCGAAAACCTGCAGTGTCTTGTGTCTGGACGTCTAGGCCCTGTCCGGTGGGGTGAAACGACACTGAAAAATCACCCCATTATTTTTCGAGGGGCGTCCAGGACCCGATAAATGTCCTGGGCCGCCCCCTTTTTTTTCTTTTTTTTTTTTGTCCCAGGGGCCTCTATCCGGACATAAGGACCGGACACCGGACACCGGAGCGTCTGGAACTCAGTCCGGACGTCCGGACGGTTACGATGCCTTTGGGATATCCGGCACGGCCAGTTGTGACAACACCAGAACTGCACTTTGGAATCGAGATTTTGAACTTTCCAATGGTCGGTGTGGCCCTCCTATTGAAGAGCGACTCGTTTTTGTGACTCTACTAAAGTTACTCCTAATATTTTTCTTTGATGCTTCGGATCTAATCCACATGCCTAAGTTTTATGAAATTAAATAATTTGCATCCTTTTTTTTTTATATTTTTCTATGATGTGGAGGAGTTTTAATTCACATCCTTGATTTCAATGAAAATTTTCATCATTGGAAATCATACCTAAAAATGACCGAAGTTGGGTTGCTCGGAATCAGTTTGGCCCAAATATTTCTATAGGCTTAGATTACTATAATGCAGCAAAACATCGTCTTCATCCATGATTAAAACTTTTGTGCACCTCCCCCTATCATAGCCCCACTATATTTTTTTGAGAATTACCAGTCTCTCAATGAGGGCAATCAAAGAATAATAGTGATTCGAAAACCAACGTCCACCGGTCTCAATGCTTCTTTTTGACATCCCTTCTTCATCCATAACGTTTTTTTCATAACTTTTTGCATTAAAAATCAAAACAAAAAAATCACCAAAAGTCATGATAATTTTTTTGTGCACCCCCCCTCAGCCTAGGTCCACAATAGTTTTTCGAGAACTACTTATCCTGAAATATGGGCAGTCAAAAGCATAACAGTGAACGAAAAACCAACATGTACCGATCTCATTGCCCCTACACAATCGTTGAGATCACCTTTTTGTTTCCTTGGAGCGTGTATTGATTACATTCATTTTGTGAGCTAAAACTTAGTAGTGGAACCCTTGCCGACTTCCCATCAGTCCTCTCTCCTTTCTCCCCTGTTCCCATCTTTTCAAGGTACAACGAGTATTTTTCCAAGCAGCAAAAATGACTTTAGTAATTCACTTTTTTCATTTTTGTTTTTGTTTGGAGCACACTAGTTGGTTGTGCATTGTCCGATAATCAACAATCAACACGATGCTTTTGTCAACTTCGGTCTACGCTAGGCCACGCATGGAGATGTTTGGCCCCGTTCTACCTCTTGCCTATTGATTGTGACCGTCTGCGTGAAGATGCACTCGTTATATTGCATTTTTTGTTTTCGTGCAAGTGGAATCCCCTCTGCGTCGACAGTACCTTTTGGTGATAAAGCCATATCCTAGAACTTGGGTTCCATTTATCGAGATGTTGTTCACAGTTATAAGGAAGAATCTAGTCGCGGTCGCGGTCATGCATATCCACAATCGTTCATTGCAGTCAGATGCATATAAAAAAGTTGTGGTATACTCTCAACCACACATTTTTTTGCAGGTAAAGTGTCACGTATCTCCAGATTTTTCTCCGCGGTCGCGCATAACTTGAATGATGATCCATTATCCATGAAAGAGTACTAATTCAGGATTCCGGGTATTCTCTGATGGTAGAATTTTAACATGTCAGCATGATTCATGGGGACTATTCCACGTTGTGTTGTGGGTATAAAGTCTCATTTCAAAAATCCATATTCTCGAAGTGCACTTAACAGTTTCCTGATGGGTGCATGCAAAAAAAAAAGAAATCCTTCTTTCGTAGCTTTTGCTCGCCCGATCTTAAGACTTTACTCCTTTGGTCAGGTAAGTTCTTTCTTTTTTTTCTTTTTTTTTTAACCACTAGTACCTTTGCCGCTTGGGAAAATAGCGGGCCTCGGATAGGCGTCCAACCTTTTCAGAGGCCGAAACGAAACGACGGCCGCCGATCAGATTTATCAATGGCAGTCGTCGTCGGGCCCGACCTCCGAATATTCAGGAGTTTGGGAAAACTGTCAGTTTTTCCTATTTTCCCACGCGGGAAAGGTACTAGTGGTTTAACCGAAACATCTGTGGCAACCTGCTATTGGAGGTGATACGAGCATCCTCCACGAGCATCCTCCAATAGCAAGCCCCAGTTTATAGATGGCTCCAATCTAGTGGAGGGGAGCAACACCTGCTGGAAACAGGGTTCAGCATCCCACTGACAAGATTGAAGACGATATACCTGGTGGAACAACATTGATTGCCCTCTCTCGAGGGGATTGACTGTCCGCCCAATTATCAGCCATGTCACAACATATATGAAGATGTAGCCATGGGGGGGTTGGCAAACTCTCCTCCGATCATCCTAATTCCTCACAGTCGTAATCGTGCAAAGCAAACCCTAGGCCTCGTTCGGGCATAAGGCTGCTGCCCAGCTCCATGATTCACATTCTCCTCCAGCGGAGGACGTCTGCCTACCCTCCCTTATCATAAGCTATTCACCCGACGAAGATCAGTCTCACAAGATTGTTGTTATCGAATTACTGGCAGAGGATAGCAACATCCGCGACATATTTCATTCTTGTTATTATTAGTATTATCACACATCTGCCATGCTTACTCTTCCCACTGTCATTTCGCCAACCAGAGGTCTGCCCATCCCTTATTAATTGTCCTATCTCCTCCTCCTATCCCCCACCCAACCTCTCGCTCCTCTCCATCTTGCCCCCCATCTAGTGGCAACCACATAATATGACAGTGAGGACCGGCAACTGAGAGGGGACAGAGGGAAACCCTAGGTTAAAAAGAGACGACGGCACGTGATATTTACGCAGGAGTAAAACAATCAAAACACATGTCAAACCCATCGAATCCAACCCCCCCCCCCGTGGTCAACTACTTGAGCCACCCCCCTAATTATACAACACCTCGGCTGATTAGTATTACCCTCTGGGGGGGAATGGCATACCCCTGCGATATAAAAAAAAACCCTGTCGTCGCCATTGCTGGGTAAATCATCACTCATGATATCATTCCCCGCATCAGCCTGCTAGGTAGATGACGAATCAATTGTATAAAAAAACTTTCAAA